AGAAGAGAGGAGGAAAAAAGATGTTTAGATTTGGGGGGGGGGGGTTAAAATTCTTCAACCTGCACCAGGTACAGACCCCCTCCTTCATGCAAAGGCAGCCGCCACCACCACCTGCTAGGTCTGGGCCTCTATCCCCCCCCACCACCTTACTCACTGCTCCAGGGACAAGACCCAATCACAACACTTACCACAAACACCCAACTGGGGAACCATGTAACCCAACAACCACAACCACCTCCACCTCCACCTCCACCTCCACCTAGGAAGCCTTCACAACTCTCTATTCAATATACACCTGCTAACCCTCTAGTACTTAAATCAAAGGCTGCTTGCTTATTGGCTGCACGGCAAGGCTGCTATTCTTTTATTGGCCATATGCTTCAGTGGCAGTTTGTTTTTATTGGGTAAGAATTAAGTGCATCTTGGCCGCACCTGGTGCAGCATACATAGATTGAGACGCTAAAACACCAGCACATTGACGGGGATCTTCTCCAAATATCATTTTATTTTAATTTGGCATAAAAACAGCAAAACAGTTTACACGTTTCATCCCAAACACTGGGCCTTTGTCATGTATCTAAAATAAATTTGCACGTATAAAGTCTTATACGCTCCCAACCTCCAAAATGGTAGGCGTAGGACCCATGCAGCACAGAAAATGCTTCACATGATCAAAATAAAATATAAACCCGCTAATGCTGATCCCCAGGCTAGTTGGAGAGCAGCAGTTGGAAAACAGAGGGTTAAATATTTAGGGCACTTGGATGTGTTAATTAACACGTACCAAGCGCATAGACACCCAAAATCAACACATGTCAATGGATGTTCCCACCATTCTGCAATGCAAAACAAAAGGTCACTGCAGCACAAACGCACGTAGACACATGCAAACGCATATAAAGACATTCATGTTTGATTTTTATTTCTCTCTCCTTTTTCTCTTTCCTTTCCATGAATTTACTGGACCATTCACACCCAATGAGCCTGGATGTGTCAATAAACGCACACCAAACACGTCCATTAAAATGTATTGATTTTTTTACCACATCCAAGCACACTGGGTGTGAATGGACCTGAAATATTTAACCCTTTGTTTTCCAACTGCTGCTCTCCAACTAGTCTGTGGACCTGCATTTTCAGGTTTATAGTTTTGATCTTGTAAAGCATTTTATGTGCTGCATGGGTTCATTTTGTTTGAAGTAATTACTCCTACACCTACCATTTTGGAGGTTGGGAGTATATAAGACTTTATGTGTGGATGTGTATATTAGCTATGACTTAAACTGGCCATACACCTATAGATTATCTGCAGATTTTCTATGGTCAGATGGAAAGAGTGCAACAGATTCCTCCATCTACGCTAAACTGTGTGGCTGGAGGAATCTCCCACTGGGCCAAGCTTCAGTATCTTGCTAGTTCGCCCCACTGGCTGTCAAAATACCTGAACAACCTGATTGGATGCAGGCATTGTTCAGGTATTTTGACAGCCAGTAGGGCAAACTAGCAAGATACTGAAGCTTGGCCCAGTGGGAGATTCCTCCATCCACACAGGTTAGCGTAGATGGAGGAATCTGTTGCACTCTTTCCATCTGACCGTAGAAAATCTGCAGATAATCTATAGTTCTATGCTCCTGGCAGCCAATCTGATTACTGGGAATGCAAAAGATGGTGAATCTGTTACTTTGCGTTGCAAGGATACTAACGTATCATGACACCTCTACCCTGTTTTTAACCACTTATACATAAACTGTATGCCATCCTTTTTAGAACCATGCTTCATGTGTGTTTTTGCACAATAAATATTTATGTGTAGAACGGTTTATACGGTTTATAGTGCTGAAACCACTGTTTTTGGGGTGTGCAGGCTTAAAATGTTTTTCAATTCCGTTTAATAGCAATTTTTGCTTCTCATTCAAACTTAAAGCTATGGTCCCTGAGCAGGCGTATCTTGGTCCCCTGATGTCTCATTAAAGAGGACCTGTCAACTGGGGAAAATGAGACTGAAGACTTTCTGTCCTGGCTTTCTTTCCCCAGCACAAAGTGGAGATATTAGTTGCTGTTAATGACATACAACTCCCATTGGAGAAGACCTCTAACCTGGATTTCATACCCTAGTGACAGCAATTAAGCAATTAAAATTAAGTAAAAAGAAAAGTTAAAAAGCTTACAAAATACTAACACCTTCACCTCCATACACTCACAATGTTTGCACTGTGTTGTGGTGCATTATTGCACATGCCTTAGGCGCATTGCGTACATCAATTCATTTTGAATGGGCTGCTAACACAACCCAACTCAGGCAACATTTACAGGGTCCACTTACAGTCATGGCCAAAAATATTGGCACCCCTGTATTTCTGTCAGATAAAGCACCACTTTGCACAGAACATTGTTGCAATTACAAATATTTAGGCATTCTCATGTTTATTTCTTTCGTTTGCATAGGTATGACAGAAAAAAGTGGAGAATGAAAAGCCAATTCTGACACATTCTATGCAAAACTCCAAAAATGGACTGGACAAAATTATTGGCACTCTCAATTCATGTTTGGTAGCACAGCTCTTTAAAGGCCTCATTTCCTTTTCTGAAAACAGGAGAATGATGGGCTTTAACAAAAAGCTGTAATTTTATTTTGTCAGTCCACAGCACATTCTCCCAAAAAGATTTTGGCTTCCTCAGGTAAGTATTGGTAAACTCCAATCTGGCTTTTTTATGTTTTTTCTGTGTCAGCAGTGGGGTCCTCCTGGGTCTCCTACCATCGCGTCTCTTTTCATTCAGATGGCAACGTATAGTGCAAGCTGACACAGTTGTACCCTGTGCCTGAAGGTCAGCTTGCATTTGTCTGGAAGTCGATAGATGGTCTTTATCCACCATTAGAACAATCCTTTGTTGCGATCTTTGATCAATTGTTCTCTTTTGTCCACGTCCAGGGAGATTAGCTACAGTGCCATGGGCTGTAAATTCTTTTCCACACATGTTTATTTCTTTCGTTTGCATAGGTATGACAGAAAAAAGTGGAGAATGAAAAGCCAATTCTGACACATTCCACGCAAAACTCCAAAAATGGCACACTCAATTCATGTTTGGTAGTACAGCTCTTGGAAAAAATAACTGAAATCAATTGCTTCCTGTAACCATCAATGAGTTTCTTACACCTCTCTACAGGAATTTTGGACCACTCCTCTTTCGCCAACTGCTCCAGGTCTCTCAGATTGGAAGGGTTCCTTTTCCAAACTGCTCTTTTGAGATATCTCCACAGTGCTCTATGTATGGGATTGAGATCTGGACTCATTGCTGGCCAGTCCAGTACTCCCCAGAGCTTTGTCTAAAACCATTTCTGGGTGCTTTTTGACGTGTGCTATGGGTCATTGGGACCCATGAACCCTGATGGAGACC